AACGTGGCCCAAAAGCCCTTTCCTCTGGGCTGGGAGCAGTGGGAGGGATGGTGACTGGGAAGCCCCTTCCTCTGGACCAGGAGCAGTGGGACAACGGCTCAGAAGCCCCTACCTCTGGGCCGGGAACAGTGGGACTCAGTACCTTGGTCTGGTGGTCTGATGTCCTCTGCGTCTTTGTAGTGTGGAATCAGGTGGCTGCCTGTCTGCAGCAGGGTGATTCGGTGTCTTCCGCGTGACTCAGGACCTCGGTAGGGCATGCACAGACCTGCCTGTCTGCAGTGGGCTGATTCCCCCATTCTTCTTGATATGAACAACAGACTAATACACACTTCTTAGAGTACTGACAACATAATCCATGAGAGATCTGCTTTCTGTGTATGGGAGCCAACTGAGTTTCAATGGCTCCCCAACATATTATTATTGCATGCTCATATTTCTTAAATTCCTAATCATTTCACCAGCACACTGTTGAGAGAATACTGAAAGACACATGAATAAATGGGGTTGATGTAGCACCAGTCACCCCATTTGTTTTATTTTCAAGTAAATTTCATAATCTTTCCAACTAAGATCCCTTGGGGAGAAAATAATAGCCAGTTCTCTTCTACACTCAATTCTTAATGTGTAAGTTATTCCATATAAAAACAATCATCTTGTATAACATTTATTATAGTAGAAAGGCACAAATGAATGTGTGAATTTCACAGTTGTGCAAAATCAAGTGTCTGCTTTTTACAGTGGTATATGTGTAGTCATAAAAATAAAAATGAATAATTACATGTGAAAAAATTTTAGGTTAAATTTTTTAAAGTTTGTTATAAAGTAGTATGTAAAATAAAATCCTTTTTTTTTTTTTTTTTGGTACCGGGGATCAAACTCGGGTCCTTGTGCTTGCACAGCAGGCAGCGAAACCACTGAGCTAAATCCCTGGCCCAAAAATCCTAATTTTATTAAAACAAAATTTTTAAAATCTCATTTCCAGTCACAGCAGGACCAATCTTTCTTAGTGAACATGTCTAAAAACGTGGAAAAACGCTGAAAGTTTTTTTTTCAAGGCAGGAAAGGAAAACAAAAGTTTTAAAGTAGTTTTAGATTAAAAATTAAACTGATAACTCACTTCTTATCAGCGACATCATAATTCCAGCACATTGAACACACACTGAACAATGTGCTGGAATAATAAAACTATAAAATAGAATTATGAATACAGAAGTCTTTTAGGAATAAAGATAAAATAAATGTGCAATGTATTTTCACTCATGTGACGCTTTAAAAACAGATGGTAACATCTCTAAAGAGCAGGTGAAAACTGGATGTAGTGGTACTTGTCTGTAGTCTATAATACCAGCTATGTTAAGTCCCTGATTTACAA